AACTACCAAAATGTACCAAATATGGTACCCTTTGTATTAGGCGAACGGGAAGAGCTAGAATTCTGAAATTTGGAATGTGGGTCACTGATGTAAAGTTAGGAAGATGTACAAAAGCGTTTTTGGAAATTCGTACTAGAACGGTACGAAAAGTACTAAAAAGTACTAAATGTGATACCATTTGTATTTGGCGAACCGGTAGAGCTAGAACTCTGAAATTTGGATTGGTGGTCGCTGAGTGTAGGATAGATGTACCAACGGGTTTTTGGAAATTCGAACTATAAATATCCGAAAAGTACTAAAATGTACTTAATTTTGTACAATTTCGTAGCATGTGAATTGATAGAGCTAAAAACTTGAAATTTGGAATGCGAATTAGGGTTGAGATGTAGAGTCCATTTAAGGAGATGGTTTTGGAAGCGTGGACTCATGTGTACGAAAAGTACTATATGGTACTATATTTGGTACAAATTTAATTTGGAGCTGGAATCCTGAAATTTGAAATTAACATTACCGTCGGAGTGTAGGATTGGTAATGTACGTAGTTTTGGATTTTTTTTCAGTAATTTATATTCATGGGTACTAAATGGTACTAAATTTGGTACAATTTGAATTTTATGCGAACCAATAGAGCTAGAATCATGAAATTTGGAGTCATGATCACTGTTGGGGTGTAAGATCGAGATATGTAGGAAGTTTTAAACATTTTTACTAATGTGTACTAAATTTGGTACAATTTGAATTGTGGGTAAACCGACAGAGTTGGAATCCTAAATCTTGGATTTAGGATTACTCTGGGGGTGAAAGTTTGGGTTAAGTGGGACGTTTTGGAAATTCGTACTACTGTGTACTAAATTTGGTACAATTTGAATTGTAAGTGAACCGAAAGAGTTGTAATCCTGAAACTTGGATTTAGCATCTCTGTTTGGGGTAAGTAAGAAGTTTTCAAAATTAGTACTACTGTGTACTAAATATCGTACAATTTGAACTGTAGGCGAACCGAAAGAGTTGGAATCCTAAAACTTGGATTTAGGATCACTGTGGGGGTGCAGGATTGGGGTATTTAGGACGTTTTGGAAATTGGTACTACTATGTACTAAATTTAGTACAATTTGAATTGTGGGTGAACCAATAGAGATGGAATCCTGAAACTTTGTGTTAGGATCACTGTGGTGGTGTAAGATTGGGGTATGTAGGAAGTTTTGGAAATTCGTACTACTTATGTTAATGATTGAGCTATACCGAGATACATATTTGGAAATTCGTATTTATGTGTACGAAAAGTACTAAACGGTACTAGATTTGGTACAATTTGGATTTGGGTGAACGGTGAGAGCTGGAAACCTTAAATTTGAAACAATGGTTGCTGTTAAAATATATAATTGAGATATGAAAGCATAGTAATTATGTGTACTTAATGGTACTATATTTGGTACAACTTGATTATTTATGAACGGATAGAGCAGTGTACTAAATTTGGTACACATTGAATTGTGGATGAACCGATAGAGCTGGAATCCTGAAACTTGGATTTAGGATCACTGTGGGGGTGTAGGATTGGGGTATGTAGGAAGTTTTGGAAATTGGTACTACTATGTACTAAATTTTGTACAATTTGAATTGTGAATGAACCGATAGAGTTGTAATCCTGAAACTTGGATTTAGGGTCACTGTGGGGTTGTAGGGTTAGGGAAAGTTGGAGGTTTTGGAAATTCATACTACTGTGTACTAAATTTGGTACAATTTGGATTGTGAGTGAACCGATAGCGTTGGAATTCTGAAACTTGGAATTAGGATCACTGTGGAGTGTAGGTTTAGGTTAAGTAGGAAGTTTTGGAAATTCGTACTACAGTGTACTAAATTTGGTACAAATTGAATTGTGGATGAACCGATAGAGTTGGAATTCTAAAACTTGGATTTAGGATAACTGTGGATTTAGTAAGAAGTATTGGAAATTCGTACTACTCTGTACTAAATTTGGTACATTTAAATTTGAATTTGGAATCATTATGAGGGTGTAGGATCGGGGTATGCAGGAAGTTTTGTTGGAAGTAGAAGGGTACGAAAAGTACTAAAATGTACCAAATATGGTACCCTTTTTATTAGCGAACGTGAAGACCTAGAAATGGAATGTTGGTCACTAATGGAAAGTTAGAAATATGTGCAAAAGGGTTTTTGGAAATTCGACCTATAAGTGTACTAAAGGTACTAAACTTTACTGAATTTAGTTCAGGTTGGGAAGTGGTGTTGATGTAGGGAAATGGTTTAAGACATTCGTACTTATGTGTATAAAAGTGTAAAATTGTACTAAATTCCGTACTAATTACTCTCAGTTGAGTGTGTAGAGATGGAATCGTGATAATCGGAATTAGCTTTAAAAAATCGTACTTATTTGTACGAAAAGTACTAAATGGTACTAAATTTGGTGGAAGTTGGATTTAGGTGAACAGATTGAGCTGAAGTCTTCAAATTGGGAATTAAAATGACTGTTGGAGTGTAGGACTGAGGTAGATTATGAAATTCGTACTTATTGGTACGAAAGGTATATATGGTACTAAATTTAGTACAATTTGGATGTTGCTTGAAAGGATAGAACTGAAAACCTGAAATTTGGAATTAAGATTTCTGTTGAAGATTGAGCTATAGAGACATCTTTGGAAACTCGTATTTATGTGTACGAAAAGTACTAAACGGCACTAGATGGATTTGGGTGAACGGAGAGAGCTGGAAACCCATAATTTGAACTAATGGTTGATGTTTGAATATAGAATTGAGATATGGAAGCATATTACCTATGTGTACTAAATAGTACTATATTTGGTACAACTTGATTACGTGTGAACGGATAGAGCTGGACTCCCGAATTTTTTAATTAAAATTACTGTTGAAGTGTAGTATTGAGCTATGGAGACAACTTTGGAAACTCGAATTTATGTGTACCAATAGTAAATAGAATAGAAAATTCACTAAATTTGGAATAATTTGAATTTGGGTAACGGAGAGAGCTGGAAACTTAAAATTTAGAATGATGGTCATTGACAGAGAGTTAGAAAGAAGGAACAAAAGGGTTTTTGGTACTAAATTTAGTGGAGGTGACTGTATAGAGGTAGTCTTGAAAATGTATAATTATATGTTCCAAAAAATCTAAATGGAATTACATGTGGAACCTGTACGTTTTTTAATTTTTTTTTAATGTGTAAATTTCGGAAAATAGTGCTTATGTGTATGAAGAGTACTTAATGGTAATAAACTTGATATTAAATATACGAATAGAGGTGGAATTCAGAACTATAGTACAAAGATTTCCATATGAAATATTTTTTTATTCCTGTTCCGCATACGAAGTAGCGGGTACTTTGCTAGTATAATAATAAAAACGTGTAATGTTTATTCGTCGGAGATACAGAAAGTACATTAAATGGGGTCTTCCATGTCGATTTATTCTTGTCCGTATATGTATCCCTCACCTTTGTAATGCATTGGCCGCATTTCCATCCGAAGTGGCAGTAATTTGACATTTCCCGTTCCTATTGGTTGAAAAACAAATTTTACATAGGGCCTATTTTTTACATAGTCCCCACTTTTAGCAGTCCCGCCAAATGTTTGTGGTATTTTTTAAAAGTTTTATGACATTTTTCGTATTCGTTTAGACAAAAGTCCCGCCACCCTTTTTTGTATGATTAGCAAATAAAAACGTATAGACTTTCTATAGTGGGGGTTTTACGATTTCCTTCCATCACCACATTTTACCAAATTCAACCATGTGTTGAGTGTGTATCTTTTATGAATGAATCTCGTGAAATGTTAAATGAAAATTGCGTCATCCATTTATTGTTTGTGGCAAAATGTTAAAATACGCCGACATGACAAAATGACTGTGTGGTGGACAGAGAGAGAGAGAGATAGAGAGTGGATAATGTTAACATGATTTCATTTCGAATGAAATTTCTCCACAGCGAGTATGTATGCCAGCTGTACATCTGTTGTACGTATGAGAGCATTTCAGTGATGATAACTCTATACAGTTAGTGGCGGATATAAGAACATCCGAAAAAATCGACAATTTTTATCATATACGCGGGTTTTTTTAAATATATTTTACACGTTATTTCCATCACCCATTACCTAGTTTTCACGGACTAATGCATATCTATAATGCTTTTACTTACAGGTTTTACCAGAATATCATCATGGGGTTAGTCACAGGACAGTGTCTGCTTAACGTAAACCTTAGTGCAGTCCGCCAAAAAACAAAATAGAGGACGGAGATTTATTGCTGGTTTTTTGAGGTTTTTAATTGTTTTTGACCTCCTCCTACAGATCTACAGTCTTTCCGGCAAATAGAGAAAAAAACAGATGTGGCTTCTTAGCCCAATATACTGTAGCTTCTAACTTGAATGGCTCTCCGGTATGGCTTCTATAGTGCGGCAAATTGCCGAAATTTTCCTTCCTACCTCTTAGTCTTTGGGCGGACTTTTTCTAGTTTAATTTATGTTATGTTAGCCAACTTCATGAGTAAATACACCAATGAACAGAGTAGTATTTGTTTGATTTTGGTGTGAGACGTTTCATATCCACTAACCACAATAGGTGACACCTGAAGTGGCGAAGCTCTCTACAACCCTATTCAGCCGCCATTCAACATACCCGTTTCATTTTTCAGTCGTCGCCTGAATTGGCAATTTGCTTGTGAAGTTTCAATCAATATTCGGCCGTGTTTGAAACGTTGGGTATTTATATACAGGGTGAGATGAAAAAACTGCAACCAACTTCAGACTGATTTTTCCGATATCATAAAGGAAAAAATGTTATCGTAGTAAAAAATTCTACATTCTTGCAGGTTCTGGAACAGACTATTTACTGGCGTACAAAAGCATTTTGGTGAGAATTCGTTATTCGTAATGTAATTCAAGCGATAGCCACAAGTGCCTATCGTTAGGGCACCCCAGAACATAAATGTGAATAAATCGTTTGTGTCTCGTGCCACCGCTCATTACCGTTGCCGTAGCGTAGCCCGACGCCAAGGAAGTGGACGGAAGAAAACAGCAACATCAGCAGAAATGATTCGAAAAGTAATGAAGCGACTTGATCGACACCCGCGTCGCTTTGAGCGAAAAATGGCTCGTGAGCTGAACATATCGCAATATTCCATTCGGCAAATATTGAAAAATGAGCCCGAGGTAAAGCCATTGAAATTCCAACAAGTGCAAGAACTTACACCGCAACTTAAAGAAAATAGACTCAAAAGAGCTAAAGAGTTTTTTCGCTTGGCCGAAAGTGGTGAACTGCCGTTTTTGGTTTTCTCCGATGAAAAAACATTCGGTGTCCAGCAAATTGTAAACAAACAAAATGATCGTGTTTACTTGCCAAAGAGGTCAGCTGAAAATGTGGACCTTCGGTTGGCCATCAGAACTCAAGCGCCGGTGGCGATGATGTGGGCCTCCATAATAGCCGATGGTCGCTCTCAACTCGTATTAATCGATCGTGGCATCAGAATAAATGCCGAATATTATCGTGAAAATATTCTGGAGGGTGTATTAAAGCCTTGGGCATACAAACATTTTGGCCGCAGACCTTGGACATTCCACAGATTGAGAAAACATTCGTTATCCACAGAACTCAGCACCATCGCAGAGTGGTATTTGTTTCATTTGGTTGCGACACATTACATATCCACTAACCACAATAGGTGACAGCTGAAGTGGCGACGCTCTCTACAACCCTATTCACCTTCCATTCAACTTTTCGTTCCATTTTTCAGAACTCAAGCGCCAGGTGGCGATGATGTGGGCCTCCATAACAGCCAATGGTCGCTCTCCATTCGTATTAATCGACCATGGCGTCAGAATAAATGCCGAATATTATCGTGAAAATATTCTGGAGGGTGTATTAAAGTCTTGGACATAAAAACATTTTGACCGCAGACCTTGGACATTCCAACAGGACTCAGCACCATCGCACTCAGCTCGTGTCGCCTAAGAATGGTCACAGAATGAGGTTCCTCGCTTCATTTCCAGCGCAATATGGCCACCAAAATCTCCAGATACCAATCTGTTGGACTATTGTGTCTGTAGTGTTTTGGAAAACATGGTTGGCACTAAAAAATACCAAAGTGTCGATCACTTCAAACAATCGCTTCAACGAGAATGGACCAAATTCCCGCAGAGCAATATTCGGGTAATTCATTGGCCGTTTGAGGGCCATAATTCGTGCCAAAGGTGACCAATTCGAAGAAATCTAAACTTATTCTAAAATTTAAAGCTGTGGATGTGGATATCACATATGAAATACTGTAACCAGTGATATTCCCGGAACTACTTTTCTGATATTCCAAAAACAACGACCGACATCGAGATTGTACAATTGATTGTGTTTAAGTCAGAAAAAAACTGGCTTAAAAAATATTTTTCATCAATCTGTCTACTCTGAATATGTGACAAATATATCCGTATTGCAGAACATTTAACATTGTCACATTTTTATGCAGTGATTTCACTTACGTGCAGGTTGAGGCAGATAAATAATTTACGATATCTAAACTCTTGACTTTCATGCACTGAAATAATTGCAAGTGTTGTTTCTGCAGGTGAGTCAAAACTACTGTACCCATTTATCTGGATGTTGAAATTACGTGTATAATAAGAATTGTTCTCGCAAGTTTTTTGAACGATTCTCCATGAAATGGACGGAAGAAAACAGCAACATCAGCAGAAATGATTCGAAAAGTAATGAAGCGACTTGATCGACAACCGCGTCGCAGTGGGCGAAAAATGGCTCCTGTGCTGAACTTATCGCAATATTCCATTCGGCAAATATTGAAAAATGAGCCCGCAACAGAACGAAAATAGACTCAAAAGAGCTAAGGAGTTGCCTTGCTTGGCCGAAAGGTGACCAACTCGAACAAATCTAAACTTATTCTAAAATTTAAAGCTATTTCCGACATTTTTCGCTTTCATTCAATAAAATTAAAAAATGATGGCGTTTTTTATACCCTCCACCATAGTATGGAGCGTATATTAATTTTTGTCATTCCGTTTGTAGCTCATCGAAATATTCATTTCCGACCCTATAAAGTATATATATATATTCTTGATAAAGGTAAAATTCTAAGACGACCTAGCCATGTCCGTCTCTCCGTCCGTCTGTTGTAAGGAAGGAATTGAGATAGGGTGCTGAAATTTTGCATAGGTTTGTCTTTTATCTGCAGGCAGGTCAAGTTCGAAGATGGGATATATCGGTCCACGTTTTGGCATAGCTTTCATATAACAGTACCCCCAATTTTCGGTATTTTGGAGTTCTTGAGCGCGTTTTTCATGTAGATTAATCTCAATAAGAATTGTTCTCGCAAGTTTTTTGAACGATTTTCCATGAACGAATGATTGACATTACTGGTCCCCCCGACCAACAAAAATTTGAAAACAAAGCACAAGTAACTTTTTAATGCCAGAAAAGCGTGAATTACACGTGACATTTTGCGCTCTTTCTTTAGCAGAAAAATTGGTGAAAAGAGAGAGACAGGCAGACAGAGAGCAAGCGAGCGATGTAGCACATATGTACATATATTTACGCACATAAACCAGCCTTCATGAGGTTGGTTTATATCAGGTACAGGCAGAAAATCGCTCATTTGGGCATTTTTACACATAGATTACTCTCAAAAGGAGGACACGTGCGCTTCTTTGCCTGTTGCTGCACAACACAATATGACTGGTTGGTTTTTAATGGTGTAAAGTAGTTTTGCAGTTCCTTCACGTACTATGGGACTATGTGGCATTTCTCTTTGCCTCATCTTTGTTTCTCAGCTAACTAAATTGTTATTACTGTCCGCCTCCCCATAGTCTTTCTTCGTTGATTTTCTTTGTAGTACACAAAGACATTTCCTTTGAATGTTTCTTCAGTTGCTAGCGAATCGGTACAAAAGACGGGTGTGTTTTTTTGTTATACGCGAAAAATTCCCATTAACGAATTGTCGCGACAACACAAGTGAACAACAATAACAAAAATTAAAAACATTGTAAATTTAACGTATTTCTAGAATAATACACAGAGTTGTACATTCAGGTACATGTAAAGATTCAACAGAAAAGAAAACATCAATAATTTACAGTGCAAAAAAAACAGCTCATTGACAAATAATATCCTCGATGGCGGCTTGAAAATGAGTTATTTTTGTTTTGACAAATTTCAAATTGAAATAACGGCACAGTGAATGAACATGTTCGGTAAGTCAATATTGAGGCGGCATACTTACGCGTTTTCACATATAGAGCACACTGAAGTTCTGTTGACAGGTGAAGATACCAATTTTTTTTTGTTTTTGTTTTTTTTTTTAAATAGTAGTATTTTGCACGTTATATTGCTGATCCAATATAACAGAGAACAGCTGAGAGATGGAGAGAAAGTTATTGGCTTGTTTACATGTCAAGCTGTTGTGCATTATGTTTTCTGCATTCATTGTCAACAACGCACACACACACGCACGCTCTCTCTCCCTGTCTCTCAATTCAGCTGCACAAAGAGCAATGCCAGCTCATTGAATGTGGTTGCCACCAGTGTTACCGCTGGCAATTTTAAAAAAAGTTGCACAAAAAGTCGTTCCCTTGAAAAAAGGTCGCACAGAAAAATAAATTTGTCAATAAAACTGGTCCGAGAATATGTCAGATGCCCTTGGAACCCAAAAACGACGTAGAAAAATCTTAATTAGTTTGAATTAACACATAAAAAGGAAAATGCAACTTTAAAAATATCAAAGAAGAAAAGTCGCACAAAGCTTAAAAAGTTTCAAACACAGTTACAGGACACCAAAAAGGTTGGAAATTGCGACTTTAGTCGCACAACGGTAACCCTGGTTGCCACATTAAAATTTTAATATTCACGGGATTTTTTACTTAAAAATTCGAATGATTTAAAAATTTGGCCAACCATAATCAAAACATGTAATAACGTCGTAAAATTCAGGCGGGCGGAAGTTTTTACAGCCTCCGCCTTGTGAGGAGTACATTCAAAATATTCAAACTTGATCGTAGTTTTTATATGGGAATATGCACCTAGCCAAGATGAGGTCAGAGTAGCAATTAATCGGCTGAAGATCAATAAAGCAGCGGGTGCCGATGGATTACCAGCCGAACTGGTCAGGAGCATACACCAGCTCATTTGTACATTTGGCTAGAGGAATGCCAATGCCCAATGATTGGAAAGGAGACAAGACGATATGTACCAACTATGGAGGAATAAATCTCCTTCCCATCGCATATAAAGTGTTATCCAGCGTGGTGAATTACATTATTCATTGACCACTGGCAAATCCACCATTGACCAGATTTTCACTCTGCGCCAGATCATGGAAAAAATCTACGAAAAACACATCGACACATTCCACCTATTTGTCGACTATAAAGCCGCATTCGACAGCCCTATCCGTTCAGAGGTGTTTAAAGCCATATCTGCATTTGGCACTGCAGGAGCATACACCAGTTCATTTGTACAATTTGGCTAGAGGAATGCATGCAAAATGATTGGAACTTCAGCATCCTGTGGCCCGTACACAAAAAAAGGAGACAAAACCACATATGCCAACTATAGAGGAATAAGTCTCCTTCCCATCGCATATAAAGTGCTATCCAGCATGGTCAATTACATTATTCATTGACCACTGGCAAATCACAAACACATCGACACATTCCACCTATTCGTCGACTATAAAGCCGCATTTGACAGCCCTATCCGTTCAGAGGTGTTTAAAGCCATATCTGCATTTGGCATTGCTGCAAAATTAATACGGCTATGCAGGATAACTTTAACTCGTACAAATTTAGCAGTTAAAGTATGAAAAGACCTCTCGGAGCCCTTCAATAGCGAACGAGGATTCAGACAAGGTGACAGTTTGTCGTTTGGCCTGTTCAACATCCTGCTTGAAAAGGTCATACGAGATGCAAATGTGAACAGAAATGGCACTCTGTACACCAAACAGCACATGTTACTCATAATGGGTCGAACATTGCGAGCGGTACCACCCTTCTTTGAACTGAATTGAGAAGGAGTCTGCCAAAGTGAGACTGGAAGTGAATGGCGAAAATATCAAGCTGATGGTATCAACGCGCAAGACGTCCAGTAGACTAGGGCCAATGTGGAACTTGAAAACTACAGCTTCGAGATAGAGAACGATTTTATATAACTCGGAACAACACTAATAACATCAGTTTTGAAATCCGGAGGAAAATAGTGTTGGCCAACAAATGCTACTATGGTCTGAGTAAGCAACTCAAAAGTAAGGCCACCTCTCGCCGCACCAAACTCACACTCTACAAGACGCTGATATTACCCGTGCTGGAGCTCTTGGAGTGTTTGAGAGAAAATTTCTCCGGAATGAACCAGTCAGACGGATCGAGCTGCAGCGACTATGTTGGCTAGGTCATCTTGTGAGAATGGATGAAGATGTCCCAGCTCAAAAGACATATAAAAGCGAGCCAAGTGACGGGTCACGCAGAAGGGGAAGGCCACGAATCCGATGGAAAGGTCAAGTAGAAGAAAACATCTCGGAAAATGGTCTTTCAAATTGGATGAGATGGAACAATCGGCTTCTGTCATAAGCCAGCTACGTAAGTGTGCAATGGTAAATTGCAGCCAGGATAAAACGAATTATCCAACTATAGACACGCAGATTGGAAAATTGGTTTAGGACCTGTAACAAGATAACCTGGGATCTAAGGAGAAACATATTGAAAATGGTCTGGGAATCAGTTGTTTACCTATTAGGTTCCGGGACTGCCGTATTAGAGTCACTTTGAAATGCTAAAAAATGGCATATTCATTTCCAACATTTTAAATTAAAAAAAAGAAAATATATGTGAAATAATTGGGGATATACGAAAATTTTACTTAAGGGGACCCCCCCCCCCCATTCTCGGGGTCAAAAATTTTGTTGATATAATTCGAATCTACACTAATTATAGAATGTCCCTGCAAATTTTCAAGTGAAAATCTCAAGAACTCTTGAAGATATAGCCGATTTATTGTGTCAGCATCAAGTGACGGCTGAAGGGCTTCTCAAACTTTAAACGCGTTTTTCTCTAAACATTTTTTTGCGAATGGCGGGCACGATAACTCAAAAACTAAAAACCCAATCGATTCCAAATTTTTACACGTTCCTCTGAGAGTGTATAGCTATCGTATGAACTAAGATAAAGACAAGCGGTGAAGATCTTCCTTATTTTTTAACTTGGTTTTTGGTCAAAAATCGGCGATTTTCCAAAAATATTTTTTTAAAGGTCCGCCATTTTGTTAATTTTAGATCGAAGTCAATAATCCTAGTTCATACGAGAGCCAGACATGTACTCTTTCTAACACCGTTGGAATTTTCGGATTCCGATGTTCCAGTGAGGAGTTATCATGCCCGCCATCAAAAATAAGGACTTTTCTTTAATTACAAAAAAAACAACAACAAAGCAATAACAAAAATTTTTTGTAAATTATTTTTCTTCTCTTTTAAATCTTCAAATATATATGTGCAAAGTTACAAACCTTAACAAGCCTTGGTATTGATTTACCAGCCCATTGAAAATCTTGAAAAATTAAAATCGAGAATGGGTGGGGTTCCCTTAAGTTATTGCTCCTTAGACTTCATGTCTAACAGAAGTTTGAAATAGAGGGAATTTGCCGTATACAATGTATATATTTGTTAAACACTATGAGGACACGATTAAATATACCAGTGTTCCCTGGATCTGAACGTCCAAAAAACTAAGTGGGCAAATGAAGAGGATAGTTCTTCAAAATAAATTGAACAGAATTTTGTGTTACAGAAGATTTGATCGTTGGATAAGACTGTTGGTGTTGAGATTTTATGATGCAAACGATGGGTAAACTCTCCACATGTAAAATTCTATTATTAGACCAAATAGTTTATTGATAAGTATGTTGTGTTGTTGAGATTAGGCTAAGCAAGAGTAGTTTAAGTAGTACCTAAGGATAATTGTTTTAAAATAAAATCAGTTACTTACAACCACTCAACGAGAAAGGTCGGGAGTACAGATGATCTGCGACTATCTGTATATTTTTTTTCAATAGTAGTCAGAAATCCCTGGATCTGGACGCCCTAGATTCTTTGGTGATCGAATGAAGAGGATAGTTGTTAGAAAAATTATGAAAAATCCTAGACTTAGAACAACTAGGAAAACGGGTTTGAAAGAAGTATGGGAAAATGTTTCCATTTATCAGCGATGTGAATGTAAACATGAGATTACTCTATGATACAATTTAAAAGACTAGTTTAAATATAATGTATTCGGAAGCGACGGCATATGTAAAGTTTGGAGGAAACCCCGAACGGATTTATAGAGAAGTGAATTGTTAGTTACAATTAAACACGCAATTGAATTTATTAAAGTTCAGATGTCACAGGTGGTGTAGGTAGCATAAAGTCTATCGAGGGAACTATGAATGCCGCAAGGACCTGAACATTCTTAAGGAAGATTTCATTTAATGAATAGGGAAACTAATACAAATATATATTTTTTAAGAGCTCCCAAAGATTTTCGAAATTGAATAACTTCGTAATTGCTCGAATAATTTTGGTATTTTATATCAAAATTGGCATCCCTAACCAAAGAGAATTTCCCTTTACTGTTCTTCTATAAAATTTCTCTTTGAGATTTACTTTCATTTTTCTTGATTTTATTTCTCTTTAATCTGTCGAATGAAAACAGGTGTAGATCCACAATCAAAACAGAGATGCAATAATCTTTTTGTGTTTCGATTTCGATTCAATTTGCATTTCGTAGAAAATTGTGTCAAAACAATAATAATAACAAGTGTCATCTATGAAGGTCAGGATTGTTTTTGTCGATTTATTTGAGGTCTGGTACATAAATTTGTAAACACACACTTACATATATATATATATACTGTTAATGAAATACAACATCTTGAATTGAAAAATAATGCATTTCACTTCAATGAAAATGAAAATAAAAAAACTATACTAAAACGTAACACGCAAAGCCAATAACCGGCTACAGTGTCTGATGCGGGACGGAATACAATAAAATGAGGCCATCAACGTAGAACAATGCCAATGTTACACTGTGCGAATTTATTAGGAATGTTTTTTTTCTAGAAGAAGTGGATTGTTTAAACTATATTTTCGGAGCTATATGCGTGGATGCAGATTTTTTATAGGAGCCTTTGGTTGGGATTTTTTAGGACTATTTTTCAAGAATTATCGGAATTATAGGCGTGGACTTTTGTAGGAATATTGTCGATTTAGCCATGCCTGCTTGCTGAGCAATCACAGCAGAGCTCGCCATTTGTCCCAAGTTTAGGGGCAGCCTCCATATAGCGTTACTCCCCATTGGGTATTTTAGTTACTTATTTAACCGAATTGACTGTAATTTTATTTTTTCGGTTCCTCATCGAATAGAATATATCCCTTTAAACAAACTGCAATATCGCCCCAAGTTTCAGGGTAAACCCCATATAAGGACCACCATAAAATATCGGTACATCAAATTGACTGTAGAAATAAATAACAAGAGTTTCCAATATCGGTTCTGGTATAGACCCCATATAACGGCACCGCCGAAATGTCGGTAGTTTGATTACTTTTTTAAATGAATTGGCTGTAATTTGGTATCTTATTAGGTAGCAAATCTTCCTACCACAAATGTCCAATATAGGCCTAAGTTTGAGGTTTAACCCCATCCCCGAAAAATTTCGTTATTTTGAGGATGTTGAGTTCGTTTTTTTTTACCAAATTGTCTGTAATAATAAGTCATTCTTTAAGAATGTTTTTGAACATCAAATTGTAAATATCCGACAATATTGCCTCCATATAAAGACCCAGTCCAGTGCCTTTATAGGTATTTTGATGGTCCTAAGCGCATTTTTCTACTGAAGTGGCTGTATTTTTTAATGAGGTCGTAGCCTACATTTCGTATTCTTCTCGTAGCAAATTAGCCATGGCAATGCCCCTATATATATGTCATGACCGGTTTCAGATCTACTTAAGGGGTCTTGAAATATATTCCTTGACTACTAAATATGTCATACAGGGTGAGATGAAAAAACTGCAACCAACTTCAGACTGCTGTCATTTCTAAACCACTCGTCCGACAGCTGTTAAAATTATTCCAGCGACAGCTCATTATATTGTTTACAAGCGTACAAAAGCTTATTGGTGAGAATTTTCCAGAAACAAAGTTATTCGCGATGAAATTCAAGCGTGATTTCTTTATATTTGGCTGGAAAACCGCAAGTGGCTATCGTTAGAGCATTTAAATGTGAATAAATCTTTTGTGTCTCGTACCATTGCCCGTGATACTGGTAACGTAGCCCGACGTCAAGGAAGTGGACGGAAGAAAACAGCAACAGCAGTAGAAATGGTTCGAAAAGTAAAGGAGCAACTTGATCGAAACCCGCGTCGCAGTGGCCGAAAAATGGCTCATGAGCTGAACATATCGCAACATTTCATTCGGCAAATATTGAAAAATGGATTGGGGTAAAACCATTGAAATTCCAACAAGTGCAAGAACTTACACCGCAACAGAAAGAAAATAAACTCAAATGAGCTAAAGAATTGCTTCGCTTGGTCGAAAGTGGTGAACTGTATAATTTGGTTTTCTCCGATGAGAAAACATTCGTTGTCCAGCAGTTTGTAAAGAAACCAGGGTGCGTAAAAATTCGATCGCGAATGATTCATAATACATTCTTTTCGTTTTGTGCTCATTTAAAGAATGTTCGCACACGCATAACAAACGAATGAGAGTACACAACAATGATCGTTTGTTTCGTTTAGTGGTTTAAATTCTTTATGACATTCTCTCACGAATGAAAACAAACTTTTCCGAATTCTCGCGAATGCTCAAAACAGCAACAAGAATAACAACAAACGTTCGTGAACTCAATAGTTGTTGGGCATGTGTTTTGTTATTCCACACACACATTCTTTCGTTATTTGTGTGTGTTTACTTTTTTATGATATTTTTTGTTTGTTGTTATTCTTAACAGGGCTCGAGAGCATTCGCGAACATTTGTTTTTTGAGTTCTTCAAAAGAATGTTCTTCAGCAACAAATGCTCGCGAAAGAATGAATCGACGACGCTTGCAGCGAAGTTTTATCGTTCGTGAATTTTTCGTACAATGCGAATATTTGCGAGAGATTGCAAATGCTTGTTCATTTGTTGTAACCTTATCATTCGCGATAAATTAAAAACATTCGAATTCTCCCCGTGAGCATTCGTGAGAAAGAGCGTATTTTAATCATTCTTCGCACCCTGAAAGAAACAAAATGATCGTCTTTACTTGCCAAAGAGGTCAACTGAAAATGTGCACCTTTGGTTGACCACCAGAACTCAAGCGCCGGTGATGGTGTGGTGTGGGCCGCAATAGCAGCCGATGGTCACGCTCTCCGCTCATTTTAATCGACCGTGGCATCAGAATAAATGCCGAATATTATCGCGAAAATATTCTGGAGGATGTATTAAAGCCTTGGGCACGCAAACAGTTTGGCCGCAGACCTTGGACATTCCAACTGGACTGGTGCTGAGTCCAGTTGCACTCAGCACGCGCCACCCAAGAATGGTTACAAAATGTGGTTTCTCCCTTCATTTCCAGCGCACAATGGCCACCAAAATCTCCGGATACCAATCCGTTGGACTATTGTGTCTGGAGTATTTTGGAAAGCAAGGTTGGCACAAAAAAATACCAAAGTGTCGATCAACTCAAGCAATCGCTTCGCTGGGATTGGGCTAAAATACCGCAGAGCATCATTCGGGCAGGGTGTGACGGTTTCATTGGCCGTTTGAAGGCCATAATTCGTGCCAAAGGTGACCAATTCGAACAAATCTAAACTTATTCTAAAATTTTAAGCTATTTCCGACATTTTTTTGCTTTCACTCAATAAAATTTAGAAACAAAATGAAAAATTGCAGTTGCAGTTTTTTATCTCACCCTGTATTTAGTAGTTAAGGAATATATCTCAAGACCCTTGGAACCGATCGGATTCAAAATTACGATCCAATCGAACTTTATGATATATTTAGTAGTTAAGGAATATACTTCAAGACCCCTTAAGAGGATCTTTTGTTATAAGGGTTATGGGTAGATTATTTTTGGAAGGTATTAAGGGTAATTTCCTGGCCCCGATTTGTATATTTTTTTATAGAATGTGCCGTAAGGTACTCATATGCTTCAACCACGCCCGATTCTAGACCTTCCAGACTTCTTTGCAATTTCTAATTCTTTTTTTTTATTTATTTACATTCCATTTTTTTGCGTAAAGTTCAAGGAAAACTTATCGTAAATTGTGCGAATGTGTGTGTGTCACTTGGACCATGCGACGCACGTCTGATATTTATTGTTTAATGTCTATTTTTAAATATTTAACAACATGAAAATAATATTTTAAGATTAGAACAACGTCAGACGAAGCACTGATAAATGAGGAATGGTCTAAATGGTTGATAGCTAGTATACCCTACAGCATATGAAACCCTACCCTGCTTTCCTACATAAATATCGATCAATTTCATCAATCTTTTTCTTTTTTGCTATTCCTAATTAATATTAATTTATGGCATACTCATTTTTGTTAATTATAAAAATATATTTTTCTAATATGAATAAATATGCCCTTAGAGGCAATTTTTTTCCTAACTGTTTGAAGTGGTTTCTGAAGTGTTTCGAATTTAGATAAGCATTTTAAGTATGTCTAGCGTTGCGATAGATAAAACAAAACAAATGACTAAAAATGTTCATAATGAACTAAGTAAATATTGGAAATATTCTCGAGTGGTGTTGGAACAGAAGTCATTACCAGATGTGAAATGTATTGTTTATTAGTCTAATATGTAAATAAGCGATAGTCTCGTGGAGCAAAACAAAAATATAGCAACAGATTTCTTATCATGGAACTTTCCTTGGAGAAAAAAATTGCTACGTGAATTTGAAACAGTGGATCTTTTGGAGAATAATTTGAAGCGATGTCCGAACCATAAACATGGCTTTTTTAGTTTATTTTTTAAGTGACTTCTGATCTCTAGGCCAGGATTTATACAAACACTTGTATATCCGAACCACTGGAGTGAATTTTTAAGAATATTGTTTGTACCACATGCGCACATGGATTTTTTTTATTAAGAATGGAAAAAACCGAATATATGTCTCTCAAACGGCTTAGATTTTTTTTATTCAACACGATGAGGGCTATCACATACTCAAAGGAATAAGAACATCACCAGTTTACTGGGAAGGAGAAAAACAGAAACTTTGATCAAGCTTAGGTGATTCAATTACATCTTAAACGTCGCATGGCATATCAGCATGAATATATGACTGAGAGGTATGTCAAATTTAAATGTTATTAATGAAGTATTTTATTCATCTGAACGGTTTCCCTCGGTCGATGGCTCATATACTTTTTGTAAAACCTGCATTCGAGCAATTAAGAATGAAAAAAAACGAATATATGTCTCTCAAACGGCTTAGATTTTTTTATTCAACACGATGAGGGCTATCGCATCCTCAAAGGAGGAAGAACATCAACAGCTCACTGGGAAGGAGATTGGTGATTTTCGAAAAGTCGATGTTAAATTGTTAAATATTTGAAGATCATGATTAGAAGTAGGAAATATGGTGAATTTGTGAAAACATACTGTGTATACAATTGTTAAAAACTGTGAGCTTATTGGCATATGTACCCATAACCCTGAATCTGGACGCCCCAGGAAACTAAGTGAGCGAATGAAGAGGATAGTAGTTAGAAAAACCACGGAAAATTCTAGATCTAATGCCGTTAAATTTTAAAATCAAATTTGCTCTAAAATTTGGAATGATTATTGCATAATTTGCGATAAAAGCTGGATCGTCCACCTCAATCTTCTCTAATCTCCATCGTGTGGACGTACTTACAGCAACAAGTAGAAAAGGCAGATCCATCCTCAGTTCAACGAATCTAGACCGGAATTTATAAAAAAAATGTGTCCGAACCGCAAGAGTGAATTTTTAAAAATATTCTTTGTACCACATGCGCACATGGAATTTCAAGAATATTTTTTGAAGGCCCACAAATATATTTTATTAAAGGCATGTCGGAACCATTAGCATAGATTTTTTGGGATGACAAGTAGATTCACAAGTGGAGCTTTTATGACTACTTTTTTAAGGAATCGTAAACCTAATTTTTTTTTTCAAGAATATTTTTAAAACACCATTATCGTATTTTTTAGGAAAATTTTTGAAGGGAATGCAAGGGCCATAAGCCTGGATTTTTAAAAGAATGTCAGGACGATAAGCTTGGATTAAAAAAATGTTTTTAAAAGAATGTCATGAATGTTTTAAAGAATATTTTTGAAGGAATGCCAGGACCATAAGCGTGGATTTTTTTAAGGAATATTTTTGTTAGTGGGATGTCAGAACCGCTTTGCTATGGCTATGCGTCTCAACGAAATATTGATTTTAGAACCCATATTTCTTTGGTCCATATCCGTTTCAGACAGTTGCGAACGATAACTCTCGAAAGGAGTAACCGATTTCATCCAAACAAGATACAAAATAGAAATTACCTTTTTTTACTTTAAACTTATTTTTTATAGAAATCATCAGACATAATACCCTGTGGTACAGACATAATACCCTGTGGTACAGGGTATTATGTCTTTGTGCATATGTTTGTAACAGGCAAAGGAAATGAGATAGACACATGGTTCCTTTTGAGAATATGCATAGAATCACTTTCTGAGTCGATTTATGCATGTCCATCTGTTGATGTTATATTGTAAACAAAGAACAGGTCGCATTTATCATCCGATTTGGATGAAATTTGGCCTAGAATAACGTACGTAAAGTTTCGTGAAAATCGGTTCAGATTTATATATAGCTCCCCTATATAAATTTGTCCGATTTAAGGTAAATGGTGCACCAAAGTACCTATATATCTTTCAATTTGCACGAAACTTGGCACTGCGTACTGAAAAGCCTAGAATGATGTGTGCTAAGTTTCGTGGAAATCGGTTCAGATTTATATATAGCTCCTATATATATTTTCGTCCGATTTTAGGTAAATAGTGCACTAAACTCCCTATTTATCTTTCGATTTGCACGAAATTTGGCACAGCATACTGAATATTAAATTTCGTGAATATCGGTTCAGATTTAGATATAGGTCTGATTTAAGGTAAATGGTACACCAATGTCCCTATATATCGTTCGATTTGCATGAAATTCGGCACAGCGTACTGAATTAAGCCTAGAATCGTGAAAATCGGTTTAGATTTAGATATAGCTCTCATATATATTTTCGTCCGATTTTATGTAATTGGTGCACAAAAGCCCCTATATATCTTTTGATTTGCACGAATTTTGGCCTAGGCTACTGAATTAAGTGTACAATGATGTGTGCTGAGTTTCGTGAAAATCGGTTGAGATTTAGATATAGCTCTCATATATATTTTCGTCCGATTTTATGTAAGTGGTGCACAAAAGCCCCTATATATCTTTCGATTTGCACGAATTTTGGCACAGCGTACTGAATTGAGTCTAGAATGATGTGTGCTGAGTTTCGTGAAAATCGGTTCAGATTTAGATATAGCTCCCATATATAGTTTCGTTCGATTTTATGTAAATGGTGAACCAAAGTCCCTAAAGAAATCGAAAGATATATAGGAACTTTGGTGTACCATTTACCTTAGATAGGACGAGGTTATATATGGGAGCTACATCTAAATCTGATACGATTTTCCCCAATTTTAATAGGGTTCGTCCTTGGGCCAAATAAATGAGCTGGGCCAAATTTCATCCAAATCAGATGATAAAGGCGATCTGTACTTTGTTTACAATTTAACATCAACAGACGGACGGACGGAAATGCTTAAATCAACTCTGAAAGTGATGGGTTTATCTCGTTTCCTTTTGCCTGTTACAAGCATATGCACAAAGACGTAATACCCTGTACCACAGTGCGGTGAAGGATATAAAAATATTTCAAAAACATGATTTGTAATAGTGTTGTGTTTTAATTTTTTAAATTAATCCCTAGATTGAAAAAAAACTTTTGTTTTTTGTAATGTTTTATATATAACAAGGATTTTTTGAAAAACATTTTTTTTATATTTTTCAGTTTATTTTTCAATAATTTCAATGCAATTCCTACAAATTGAATGTGAAAGTAAGAATAATACTCCCCAGATGTGCGAAGTACGGAAACAATTGTTTACTCGAACCAGATAACAGTAAAAAAAACAATTAATGAATTATTGCTGTTTTCATTTTTGTTGGTACATTAATATTGAACACAAAAAAAGATAAGGGGTATTCTTCGAAATAATGCAAAATGGGAATTTTTGTTGACTTTCAAACCTGGTCAGATTTCATCAGATTGAAACGTAACACCACACCTTTTGCAGTCTCCAAAAAATATGCATGTATATTTTTTTCAAAAATTGACACAATGTAACCAAGGGTCTTATCATTCATATCGAAATGTATACAATTTTGGGTAGGCGATTCAAAAAATAGCATCGTCGATATCGTTCATTGACACTTTTCTTCACTTCAAAAGTGTGTATCTTCTTCTTAATGATTGAAATTGAATGTGAAATGGAATTTGATCAAAAAATTTGAAGGCATTTGAAGGCATCAAACACTCATTTCAAACCAAAAAACATACCAAAACAAAAATAACCTTAAACAATAATTTTTTGCATAACGAAATGGCGCAGTTGTTTATTGAGCTATCTGATAGTTGCTGTTTTTCTTCTCTTTTACAGTGTGAAGAATAAGTTTGGAAACTTGAACAACACTGTTTGTTAGTTTTCTTAACCCTTTCAGTGTTTTTGTCGAATATATTCGACAAACATTTGCTAGTAGGTGAAAAGTGTCGCATGACAAACTGTACGCTGGCATGTGCTTAGCTAATTTGCCCAAATGTTT